TCAAGTTTTCCAGAAGTTTGTTGGGTTAGATCATCAAATCCATCTGTCTGTTGAGCAAGGTCTTCTACCTTTTGATTGGGACTGTTAGGCTTCCAAGGCTGATAGGTTTGTTGTGTTTCTGGTCCAAACTCAAGTTTTCCAGAAGCCTGTTGAGTTAAATCATCCAGTTCATCTGTCTGTTGAGTAAGGTCTTCTACTTTTTGACTGGCACTGTTTGGCTTCCAGGGCTGATAGGTTTGTTGTGTTTCTGGTCCAAACTCAAGTTTTCCAGAAGTTTGTTGGGTTAGATCATCAAGTTCACCTGTCTGTTGAGTAAGGTCTTCTACCTTTTGATTGGCACTGTTAGGCTTCCAAGGCTGATAGGTTTGCTGGGTTTCTTGACCAAGTTCAAGTTTTCCAGAAGTTTGTTGGGTTAGATCATCAAATCCATCTGTCTGTTGAGCAAGGTCTTCTACCTTTTGATTGGGACTGTTAGGCTTCCAAGGCTGATAGGTTTGCTGGGTTTCTTGACCAAGTTCAAGTTTTCCAGAAGTTTGTTGGGTTAGATCATCAAATCCATCCGTCTGTTGAGCAATATCTTGTACCTTTTGATTGGCACTGTTAGGCTTCCAAGGCTGATAGGTTTGCTGGGTTTCTTGACCAAGTTCAAGTTTTCCAGAAGTTTGTTGGGTTAGATCATCAGATCTATCTGTCTGTTGAACAAGGTCTTCTACCTTTTGATTGGGACTGTTAGGCTTCCAAGGCTGATAGGTTTGTTGTGTTTCTGGTCCAAACTCAAGTTTTCCAGATGCCTGTTGAGTTAAATCATCCAGTTCATCTGTCTGTTGAGTAAGGTCTTCTACTTTTTGACTGGCACTGTTTGGCTTCCAGGGCTGATAGGTTTGTTGTGTTTCTGGTCCAAGCTCAAACTTTCCAGATGCCTGTTGAGTTAAATCATCAAGTTCACCTGTCTGTTGAGTAAGGTCTTCTACCTTTTGATTGGCACTGTTAGGCTTCCAAGGCTGATAGGTTTGTTGGGTTTCTTGACCAAGTTCAAGTTTTCCAGAAGTTTGTTGGGTTAGATCATCAAATCCATCTGTCTGTTGAGCAAGGTCTTCTACCTTTTGATTGGCACTGTTAGGCTTCCAAGGCTGATAGGTTTGCTGGGTTTCTTGACCAAGTTCAAGTTTTCCAGAAGTTTGTTGGGTTAGATCATCAAGTTCACCTGTCTGTTGAGTAAGGTCTTCTACCTTTTGATTGGCACTGTTAGGCTTCCAAGGCTGATAGGTTTGATGTGTTTCTGGTCCAAGCTCAAACTTTCCAGAAGCCTGTTGAGTTAAATCATCAAGTTCACCTGTCTGTTGAGTAAGGTCTTCTACCTTTTGATTGGCACTGTTAGGCTTCCAAGGCTAAACTTCAGTGTTTTTCTATACAAAACCATGGCAGTTCAACCAAATCAACAATTTAGTATGGGTAAAACGCATAAAATGAATTTGTAACTTTATTTTGAATTTATAAATAACTATATGCAGGACACATTTCAGATCCCCCAACTCAACAAAGCTTTGTTAGATTTTTTAAAAATTTACCAGAAGTAAGTAAAAAAATTACATTACACTTTTATACTACATCACTATTCATGTTATACTTTATTATAAATGAATTAACTTGTGCTTATACAACAATGTCTGTAGTGTTACTAGTAAAAGGAATGAAAAGGAGAAATTAGAAAATGGATTTATTTATTTAAATAACAGCACAAAATATATGACAATAAAAAATAATGGTAGCATGCCATAATACTACATAAGTTTCCTGAAATCATTAAATAAACAACTTATATGATAACAGTACATTAATCATTGATGAATAAATCTTATACAATCACAAATCTTATATTGTTAAAAGCTTATATCATTAAGAATATCACTTATAAATAAATGTCAATTATACAAAAGTAGAAATTACATTTAACCAAATATGGTTCTAGCCTTTTCTTTAGCTTTATCAACAGTAGTTCTAATTTTATGGCCAAGTCTTGACCAAACAGATGGTGGCGGTGTTGCTTCTGTAGTAGTACTACTTGTACCTACAGGTTCTACTGGCAATGGTGGAGGTGTCAATTCTGTTGTTGTCATTACTTCATTTGGCTTGTTTCTAATATCCCATGGATCAGCATTATTAATAGGTGATAATGTAGCACTAGGATTTACTGTTACTCCAGAATATATATCATCATTATGAGATGGATCATATTGTCCACCTCCATAAACTTCCAGGATTCTTGACTCCAATTGCCTTTCACTTTCATTATCTCCAATATGTTTTTGTTGATTTTCATTTTCACTTGTTCCTTGTTCTTCAAATGTCTGATCAATTTGCTTTTCAGTATCGCTGTAAAACAAATATTTTTTTTGTGCTTCTTGATCTACATTCTGTTCTAAATTTGACAAATTTGTTTGTGTTAATTGTTGCTCTGAATCTTCTTTATTCTTCTGCTCTGTTTGTTGTACAAATTGTCTTTGATCACTAGGATGATATGTATAGTGCCATTGCAAACCTACCGTTGCATCATTAGATTTGTGTAACCAATTCACCTGATCTACATTTCCTCCTTGAATATCATATGCACTACTAGCTTCTGAATTTAAATGTTTAGAAATATCTTTATTAATGTGGTTTTGTGCACCTTGATCACCTTTAATATTTTGATTTCTAATATTATCTACATCAGCTTCTACATTAACTTCTGGAGATAATTCATAAATGTTTGGTGCACCAGTGTCCCCATTACTAAAGTCCATAGCTGATTCATTACTATTATTTGGCATATTTAAAGTTGGTACCTGTACATTAACTGCTGATCCATATCTTGAGTACCTTGACCTTGGTTTAGGTTTCCCCGCAGGCTTAGGAAAATGTGAATCAGGTCCATGTTGTTGAGCAGACATGTTATCATTCTGTTGTGTGAGATCTCCCCATTTCTGGTTACTAGAACTTGGCTTCCAAGGATCATAGGATTCCTGTAATTTTTCACCAAACTCAAGATTACCAGAAGTATGTTGAGTAAACTCATCAAACTGTCCTGTATGCTGTGTAAAGTCTTCTGTATTTTGATTAGGCTTATTTGGATTCCAAGGTTGGTAGGTTTGCTGTGTTTCCTGTCCAAGCTCAAGTTTTCCAGAAGTTTGTTGGGTTAGTCCATCAAATCCATCTGTCTGTTGAGTAAGATCTTCAAGTTTCTGATTAGAAGTACTTGGATTCCAAGGCTGGTAGGTTTGCTGGGTTTCTTGACCAAGTTCAAGTTTTCCAGAAGTTTGTTGGGTTAGATCATCAAATCCATCTGTCTGTTGAGCAAGGTCTTCTACCTTTTGATTGGCACTGTTAGGCTTCCAAGGCTGATAGGTTTGTTGTGTTTCTGGTCCAAACTCAAGTTTTCCAGAAGCCTGTTGAGTTAAATCATCAAGTTCACCTGTCTGTTGAGTAAGGTCTTCTACCTTTTGATTGGCACTGTTAGGCTTCCAAGGCTGATAGGTTTGTTGTGTTTCTGGTCCAAACTCAAGTTTTCCAGAAGCCTGTTGAGTTAAATCATCAAGTTCACCTGTCTGTTGAGTAAGGTCTTCTACCTTTTGATTGGCACTGTTAGGCTTCCAAGGCTGATAGGTTTGTTGTGTTTCTGGTCCAAACTCAAGTTTTCCAGAAGCCTGTTGAGTTAAATCATCAAGTTCACCTGTCTGTTGAGTAAGGTCTTCTACCTTTTGATTGGCACTGTTAGGCTTCCAAGGCTGATAGGTTTGTTGTGTTTCTGGTCCAAACTCAAGTTTTCCAGAAGCCTGTTGAGTTAAATCATCAAGTTCACCTGTCTGTTGAGTAAGGTCTTCTACCTTTTGATTGGCACTGTTAGGCTTCCAAGGCTGATAGGTTTGTTGTGTTTCTGGTCCAAACTCAAGTTTTCCAGAAGCCTGTTGAGTTAAATCATCAAGTTCACCTGTCTGTTGAGTAAGGTCTTCTACCTTTTGATTGGCACTGTTAGGCTTCCAAGGCTGATAGGTTTGTTGTGTTTCTGGTCCAAACTCAAGTTTTCCAGAAGCCTGTTGAGTTAAATCATCAAGTTCACCTGTCTGTTGAGTAAGGTCTTCTACCTTTTGATTGGCACTGTTAGGCTTCCAAGGCTGATAGGTTTGTTGTGTTTCTGGTCCAAACTCAAGTTTTCCAGAAGCCTGTTGAGTTAAATCATCAAGTTCACCTGTCTGTTGAGTAAGGTCTTCTACCTTTTGATTGGCACTGTTAGGCTTCCAAGGCTGATAGGTTTGTTGTGTTTCTGGTCCAAACTCAAGTTTTCCAGAAGCCTGTTGAGTTAAATCATCAAGTTCACCTGTCTGTTGAGTAAGGTCTTCTACCTTTTGATTGGCACTGTTAGGCTTCCAAGGCTGATAGGTTTGTTGTGTTTCTGGTCCAAACTCAAGTTTTCCAGAAGCCTGTTGAGTTAAATCATCAAGTTCACCTGTCTGTTGAGTAAGGTCTTCTACCTTTTGATTGGCACTGTTAGGCTTCCAAGGCTGATAGGTTTGTTGTGTTTCTGGTCCAAACTCAAGTTTTCCAGAAGCCTGTTGAGTTAAATCATCAAGTTCACCTGTCTGTTGAGTAAGGTCTTCTACCTTTTGATTGGCACTGTTAGGCTTCCAAGGCTGATAGGTTTGTTGTGTTTCTGGTCCAAACTCAAGTTTTCCAGAAGCCTGTTGAGTTAAATCATCAAGTTCACCTGTCTGTTGAGTAAGGTCTTCTACCTTTTGATTGGCACTGTTAGGCTTCCAAGGCTGATAGGTTTGTTGTGTTTCTGGTCCAAACTCAAGTTTTCCAGAAGCCTGTTGAGTTAAATCATCAAGTTCACCTGTCTGTTGAGTAAGGTCTTCTACCTTTTGATTGGCACTGTTAGGCTTCCAAGGCTGATAGGTTTGTTGTGTTTCTGGTCCAAACTCAAGTTTTCCAGAAGCCTGTTGAGTTAAATCATCAAGTTCACCTGTCTGTTGAGTAAGGTCTTCTACCTTTTGATTGGCACTGTTAGGCTTCCAAGGCTGATAGGTTTGTTGTGTTTCTGGTCCAAACTCAAGTTTTCCAGAAGCCTGTTGAGTTAAATCATCAAGTTCACCTGTCTGTTGAGTAAGGTCTTCTACCTTTTGATTGGCACTGTTAGGCTTCCAAGGCTGATAGGTTTGCTGGGTTTCTTGACCAAGTTCAAGTTTTCCAGAAGTTTGTTGGGTTAGAGCATCAAATCCATCTGTCTGTTGAGCAAGGTCTTCTACCTTTTGATTGGCACTGTTAGGCTTCCAAGGCTGATAAGTTTGCTGGGTTTCTTGACCAAGTTCAAGTTTTCCAGAAGTTTGTTCGGATAGATCATCAAATCCATCTGTCTGTTGAGTAAGGTCTTCAAGTTTCTGATTAGAAGTACTTGGATTCCAGGGCTGATAGGTTTGTTGTGTGTCTGGTTCAAGGACATGTTCTCTTGAAAATTTTCGGGGTAGATCACCGAATATATTTATTTGTTGAGTAAGGTCTTCTATCTTTTGATTGGCACTTTTTGGTTTCCAAATCTCGTGGATTAGATGAATTACTGGTTCAAGATTGTGTACTCTAGAAAATGTTTGAGGTAGATCACCAAATATATTTGTCTGTTGAGTAAGATCTTCCAGTTTCTGATGGGTTGAGCTTGGATTCCAAGGTTGGTGAGGGTGCTGTGATTTCTGACCAAATTCGAATTCTGCAGAAGTTTGTGTGAGGTCATCAAATTGTCCTATCTGCTGTCTGAAATCATCATTGTGATTATTGTATTGTGTACTACGTTTATATTTTCTTCCATGCTGAGAATTGGTGTGATCACAGTCTACAGTATCCTCTCCTACTTGGCTTAAATCAAGTGTTCCAGTCATCAATTTTCCAAACTGTGTTCTTCGGCCAGAATTGTAGCCATTTTCTCTAAATTGGTGTGAATAACTATTTTGGTGATGCATTGCTTGGTGTGAATTATGTCTATTCTCATATTGATTATTATATTGCATATTTTGCTGGTTCATATTTGAAATATCTGTAGGATATTGAGGATTAGCTGTTTCTTTTATATGACTGGAACTCCATTGTTCTTTGTAATGTGCCACTTGTCCTGGTGTGCCTAAATGAATTGCACTATTTTGCATGTGAGCACTATTTCTTAAATTATCATGAATCATTTCATTCTGCAATCTTGATTGAAGTGCATCCAAATGTTCTGTGTGTTGTAAATTGTCTGTGTGCTGCTGCAGTGCTGCTTCACTGAACATATTCCTATTATAACCACTGCTTCCTGTACTAAGTATATTAGTATATCCTGATGTAGGATTAATAACTTGACTTGTTGGTTGAAATTGTGTTGCATGTTGTCCTTCATGTCTTTTATACATACTGAAACTGTTTGTTCCATAAGCACTTTGAGAAGGATTTCTATAAGGTAAATGTTCAGTGGTGGTATCTCTATAGTGTTGGTCTTCATTATGTGTTGTAGATAAACTACTTCCGTAACTATTTTGTCCTCTATGACTATTACTACTTGCACTATCAAGATCATCAGTAGACAAGTCATGTGTGTTAATATGTGCTTGTGCAGTATTACTGAATCCTATGTTTCCTGCAGTAGATATCTGGCTGAATCCCTTTCCAATTTCTGTATGAAGTTTCTCTATTTCTTTGTGGATATCATGCACTTCAGTTTTATCAATTCCAGGGATAGGAATTCCATCAGAACTATAACTAGAAGTGTAATTTCTTTTATAATAACGCACCTTTTTACGTCCTGATACATATTGACCTTCTTCTTCAAATACTCGACCTTGTCCTCCATCAGTTTTATATGAATTTACTGTATTCCAATTTCCAGAGTGTGTGTTTGTATTATAAGGTTCTTGTAAAATTTGAGTATTTACATCAGTTGTTCCTTTTTGGTTAACTTGTGAATTTCCACTGTATTCTCCAAGATCTTCAAGCCTTTCACTTTGAGCATTAGTTTCTTTGAGTGATGATTGAGTATGTTGGTGACTCTGTTGTTGACTCTGTAGACTGTTGTATGTATTTTGTGCAATAGATCCTGAATTACCTATTTGATTGTATGTTCTTTGGAAATTAGAAATCTCTTCTGCATTAGGTATATGCACACCAGGTCTATAACTATTATTTTGTTGTTCAACATTTGACAGTCCTGCACCATTAGTATATCTGGTACCATAAGAAGAAGTATAATTTTTCTTGTAATATCTTACTGTCTTAGGACCATTAACATATTGACCTCTTTCTTCATGCACTTTTCCATGTCCATTGTTTATATTATAGTCATTATGCTCAGACCATGTTCCAGGTCTTGAATAATCAAGACCTTGTACACGTGCTGCAGTTTGTGATAAGTCTACATGGTCTTGAAAACCATTAGAACTTTGACTTTGATATTGTTTATTATAAGAAGTGCAAGATTCTATACATCCACTTGGTGCAGACAATGTTTGTGTTATTAATAAAGATAAGATGACAATCTTTTGTACCACCATATTATTAGTTTAGTTTCTGAAATATAAATTACATTTAATTAGTTTTTATGAAAAAATATAAAAAACATAGATTTTTGTATTATTATAAGACAATTTATGCTTAATCTCTTGATAATATAGTTTGCACTTCACTTATTATGGGAAAAAATTACACTCACAATGAAACTATTATTATATATCTTGTTATAAATTACAATTAGAAATGTAATTACCATATGATAAAAGACCAAAATCCACTTAATTCAGAGAACAGAACTGACTATTGAGATGATCTCAATGGCAATGTATGTTGACATGTACTACACGCAAGTTGCAGCAATACCATTTATGTTGGCTTCCCCTTCTTTTTACCACATCTTTGAAAACATTTTCTTTCATTCTTACATGTTGATAATATTTTCTGTGCTTTTACTCCAGTTTATGTCCACTCTTATCACTACTAATAATTCACAGTAACTGTATTAATTTCTTTGAAGAAACAAGCTGACAAGCATTTGTTACTTCAGATTTAATTTCATAATGATTTTGGAAATTCTTGCTTAATTTTTATTAAAATATTCAATACATTTTAGAGTAAATATTTAATGTAAAATATCTTTAAAATTATGTATCTTTAAAAAATTGTTTAGATTAAAATATTGTATATAACACATTTTTGTTTATATGCCTCATAAATGTATGAATATATTTTTTTTTTTATAGCTATTTCCTAGTAATAGCTATAATTGGTTTTCCATATGTGATATGGTGTGTCAGCAATGATGTCATTCTCAATCTATAACATCCTTGTTGTGACGTATAAATTTATTCCTATTTCATAATGTGTATAATTTCAAGGTGACCATTGAGTTGACAACTAAGATGCATCAATGAGTCAAATGTTCTTATATCCTTGATTCTGAAGAAAATGAATTTTATTGTTTTTAGATATCAAAATATTATTTAGAAGTTAAATATTTTTATTTAATTTACATCTACATTGTACGTTCATTCAACAGAATGTTTAACAAAATATTATTTAAACAATTAAATATTGTTAAGGATTAAAACAATTCATGATCTTTTTATAATGGCCTACTTAGAGTATGTAGTAAAGTGTATGTTGACCTTCCTGGAATATGAACTCTGATCTTTTATCATAATAATAATGAATAAGACTTAAGATATTGTTAATAAAATCAGTGTTATTGAAATTCCTGAAGTTTCCTGTTGACTAATTGCTTTCGAATAACATGTTACATTAATATTTTTTTTTATAATATTTAAATTAACA